AGTGCTCCCACACAGTCACTTTTGTCCCCTCCCACACTGTCGTCGCCAAAATCGGAATCCATGACTACCAATTCACATTCATTGCTAAAAAGACGACAAGAGACTGAGCGAATATTGGAATTGTCTTGGCAGAAATATATCAGGCCTAAGAAGTCAAGAAATAGATTGGATTTGAGGCGAGAAATGTTAATCGATCATATAGTGCGTCGTGCTCGACGAATATTGCGGAGAACAGCAAAGAAAGCACAGCCACCACCACCACCACCGCCGTCTCCTTCCCACCCTCAAGGAAGCCTTCCTGACACTAAACCATGTCCTTCATCACAAGAGGAGTGTCCGGAGGCCTGTAATAAAGAGGATGGTAAGTCGACGTGCCTATTCAAGTAGTAGGATTTCGAATGCTTGTCTTCGTAATATGTTACCACGAGGATTGTTTGCATATCTAGGTTGGTACCTCACTAAGTTCGGAGCAGGCGTGTTTTGGGTGTCACTAAAAATGCATTACGTACGATGGACAGGTTGTATCTTGGTTGGAGTACTTGATCGTGCCTTCTTGTCGTCTAGCTGGTGTGAGCCGAAGCGCATGCACAGTGCTTTCACTCCACGTTCAGATTGTCTTGGTCTCCAAAAGGTTTTGCGATTCACGTGGCTGTTTTGTTCTTACTCGCCTGATACTCGCATTGTAGTCAATGCGTTTTTAGTTTACCACCCTTCAGGTCTGGTATTTGACAAGCAACACAAATTATTTTTACTCATTTAATTGTTTGTTAACTGTTTGCATGTGAAGAACAGTAGGAATGGGGCTAAAGGGCAGACCTCTGAACACTAATCAAACTTCGTTCAGCCACGCTTGTCGAAGAAAATGTTTGTGAATGCATTGAAGCAGTCCAGCATCCTTTCTGGTCGCCCGTGTGTCTGCATTCGTTGCGATGTTTTCAAGAGCACAACTAAGTAGTTTAAAAAACTCAATCGCAGACCGATTATCACCATAACTAGCATATCGACGTGAGTGGCCTGAACGCTAAATTGCAGCCTGCGACGAATAGTTGTAGAAATTGTTTTTGTTTTTATCACGCGGTGGTTGTGTTCTTGCCTTGATCGCACCTCGAAAATACGGTTGATAGAGGTGTGATGAGACTTTGTCAAAATTAGCATGATTTTAACGGGTTTCGTCGATAAGCATGTGTGAAAGTTTCAACTGTGCAAATATTTTCTGCAGTAATTGGTTCAAAATATAGAGGATCTAGTTAATCTTAGCAAAGTTTTGGTTATTTCCATTTGATAACCCTCGTTCTGCAAAAAAAGGCTTTTAGATGAGTTTTTAATTTAGATTATCTCAGTAGTAGTCACAGCCTAACATATGCATAAATATTACTTTGCTACAACCATCACTCCTATTTAATTTTACATACCTTGTTCGTGGAAGTGACTAAATTGTCATACTTGCTGAAGCGTGTACAGTAAAGCAAATTTCGTTAGGCACGTGCGTTTTCCATTAACACTGATATTGGATCGTTTGATATTTGACAATCTTTAGTGCTGTTTATCAGGTGATTATAAGGCAATGGAATTACTGTGTTTTCTGTAAAGATCGCGACACTTTTGCACTACATGATTGCAAAAGGTGTAAGCATATCATAGTGCACAATATTTGCACTTTGTCTTAGTTAAATCACGCAGATGGATGCTAGATTTGCTGGACCCAAACTTTTAGCTCTAACGTCTGGTTGAAGGGATAATATAGGCGCCGTTATTCGCGATATGCTGTCGTTGTTTTGTTGTTAAGGTGGGGAGGGGTAAGCGCAGCTGTCTGTTCATTCAATACTTTCAACGATTGGGTTAATTGATATCTTCAACGCACCAATCCATGTGACAGGGGATAATGCGAATTCAATTCGACCAGGTCAACGATTTCGTGGATGGGATTATTTAGATTATATTGTCGTCGACAACAGTGCACACAATATAAACACATCGAAAAGTATTCATTTCAAACTCAATATCCCGCTGCTGTAACTGCACCATCAGATTGTGGATGTGTTTAGGCTTAATGAAGACATCCGATGGCAAAAACCACTGAACGATGACAAAGCTCATTAGTAGCCAGTCATCGCGGAATCCTCATGTCAACGAGTGCTGCTACTGCTCAAGCAACTGCGACCCCTTCTCTACCCAGGCACGTCGTGAGCTGCTTTGTTCCAGAAGAATTGCCACACGGATATCTGAGACACCTTCAAGTGGTGTGTACGCCACCAGCTACCTTCCTCTGCATTTAACTTCATCGTCTCCCATCTCAACACACATGGCCCTATTTACTCGCTATACTTTACTTAGATCCGAAATAAATATTTTTTTCTATGTCAAAATCTAGTCAATGTCAATCGTTGTGTGCGATGCGAGTTCAAATGTGGAGCGTTTTGTCATCTTACCCACTATCATAATGATAAAAGTAGATTTTAAAGAAAGTGAAATGTGAATCGATTATCACCTTTACTTGCATGCAGACTCAGATGATGTAAACGCTTATCATAGCTCACTGCTAACACGCTCATTAGAAGTTGTCGGAATTACGGCGTGACTGATTGTCATGATCCGTGGTCCGAAGCGACTCACTTCAACATGGTTAGCATGACATCGCGTGATTGTTTTGTTCTCAGACCTCTTTTAATCGGTTCAACAGAACGATCGCATGCTTTGGCAAATGTGTGCGTCGCTGTGATTGATGGGGATGACGGTGGCGGTGGTGTGGCTGCGCCCTCACTGCTCTTTTCTACAAGATTCGCAGAGCAGGACACAACGTGTAGGTGATTAACCATTTTTGTTCAAATCCAATCCCTTACTTGACATTTCATTCCTGTCCAATGTTTGCTTTGATCCCTGCAATACATGATCAGCCGCTTGTCATTTTTTTGCAACGAATTTGACTTGGAGTACCGATGTTGGCTGGTTTGACAACAAACTGCTAGACTGTGAAGAAACATCATCGGCATTTAGGTTTGGTCACGGCAAATCTGCATAATATGCAGCTGTCATTCAAAAAAATTGTCAACTTCTGAAAAGGCCTGGTTGCAGCTTAGTTTACGAGGATATCAAGAAACAAAATGACCACCTGTCTTGTATTTCAGGATGACGGTTCCGGAGAACTAAGCGTTCTGCCTGCAAGAGGGCATTACAATGGATTTTGGTAATTTTTAGACACGACTTGGCTGTTATATTTCTGATGAATATATCTCTCGCAAACACTTGTTCTTTTTTTAAATTGGCAGCGCTAAAAGTGTTGTTGGTTAACTAATTGAGTCCAGAATATGCGGGTTGTTAGCGCAGACACGTATTCGGTACTTTTGTGCGTAAAGGGAGATAGTGGAAAGTCCAAAGGTCTTCAGACGTCCGGAGTGTTTACTAATGTTGAATATTGTTTCTGTGTCCAGTTAAAAGCAACGTTGTCCACTAATTCGCGTTTCAAGAACAGGACCTTCCATAACTGTTTAGCGCACTAAGGCATCTCGATCAATTCACTTTAGCTTTTCGGATGTTGTACTAACGATGTCCAGTTGTCGATTTATGTGAGACTGATAATGCACAATGATGCCCTCGCGTTACCTTCGCTGACGGTTCCATACCACTGATAAGTTGTTAAATTAGAATGCTTTTTCAGAATAAAGCACGTGCTTCTCATAACAAGATAATGTCTTCAAAGTCATGGATTGTGGACTGAAACCTAGCTTCAGCAACCACCGAAACCCTCCTTTTAAAATTGAAATCAAACAATTAAACTTTATTAAAATACTATCCTGTCTACAATTCGGCAGTGCTGATTGCAGCGTCTACTTCAGTAGCAACTGCATTTGACCTAATAACATACATCCTGACCTCCTAACGCAATCATTTGCATCTAAGAGGGCGGAAGTATTAATACGGGATCAATCTTTCAGATAGGCCAAACATGTATACTTCCAGTGAAGGATTCTTACACACATCCACTCAATTGTTGACATGTCCGTCATCTCGAGAGTCGGTGGTGTTAGTTCACGTACCGTTAAGAATCAAGGTTGGGCACATTTCCAAACACCTCTTCTAATCACCCACAGTCAGTCTTTAACGTGCCTGTTAAGTGGACCGTTCAAAGATGTACTTGTGTCTGCCCATCCCCATTCGCACGTTTATGTGTAGGAAGTAGACTCAATGTGGAGTAATTGATTGCATTTCTAGTTCCCAACAGCCGACACGAATTCTACCTAAACATTTGCCTGGTTTGCTCGTTTGTTTGATGTTTATTACAGCAGGAATTGGAGAGTAGAGCAGACTATCAAACACTTTGATCAAACTACGTCCATCCAAGCTTATCGAAGAGAATATATGTGGACGCTTTGAAGTAGTCCGACGTCCGATCTAATCGCATCTGTGTCTCTGCAGTCTCCCGATTCAAGGCGTTCTGTTGTCTACTCATGCGTGTCTGGTCCATTACCACTTACTACGGCCTTCCACGTTTATGTCAGTGACATCTCACACCGATTTCATCAAAAGATTCATCCTGGAACCTCGGAACCCGTTTCAATCAATTCCAGCATCCAATATCTGGCCCATTTACCAAAATATTCACCTTAATACGCTATCATCAGATCCAGTGCGACGCATAACTGCTCATTTGATCAATACTTTTAGAGGTAAATCAATTAATGTTTCTAGGAAAAATCAGCCTTAGATCGATAAGCATCGTAAGTAGAATAACTATGCGATTGATGTGAGCGCTAGATACAGCCTACGACGCGCGAACGTTCAAATAGTTGTAAATAACATTATCGATTATATGACGTGACGGTGGTGTGAAAGACTTGATCACATCGCGAAAATGCCAACTCACGACCAGACCCTCATTAGTCAATAAGAGTGTGATTTAGGTATCCTCTGTCGTCTGATTGGTCCATTTCCACTACGAGTTTAAACATAGTCATCTTACAGTCATTTTGGTCTGGTTTTTCTCCAGGAAGGGTGTTTGCGCAATGTCGCTGTCAACGTCAGTATCTCAGACTGCCAAGTCACTTCGACTACTTGAAAATACCCGAGAAGCGGCCAAGTGGATATTGAAAATGTCTGTGCAAAAATTGGACATGGGTATGAAGTCAAAAAGGGGATTGGATTTGAGGCAGGGATTGCTAATTGTATCCACGGCGCATCGTGCTCGACATGTCTTGCAAAATCTGGCGGCCACAGCTCCACCACCACCTTCACAGCCGTCTTCCACAGACAAAACGGACACTCGACATGAGTCCGTGGTGGGGCACGGTTCCTCACTTGAAATGGATGCAGATGGCTCAGATGATGGTAAACTGACCGCGGTAGTCATGGATTTCAATTCGCCGGATATAATTTTCCCACAAACCATGCCACGCTGTCTTCCTGATGACCAACCAACCAGTGGCCCGGCTCATTCACATGATCCTTCCAATGGTAAGTCAACGTGCTTATGCAAGCAGCCTGGTGTTGCATGTTTTTCTTCCTTTCACGTTGCTAAGACGACTGTTTGCATAATTGACTTGGTATATCGATTGTTAACGATGTCCAATCAGATGTCGGATTAGTCGTGCTGTTGGGTTCCTCAAGAGTATTTCTTACATTCCTTTCGATTTTCTTATAATTCTGACTAGAGCAATGCTTTACAATGGCCACCTTCAACGCTTCCGATTTTGAGAAAATGCAGCTTACCTCCAGTTTACGATTCCGCAGAAAAATGGCCTTGCAATGGATCGTGGTAATTTCCTGACATGCCTTCCCTGTAATTGCTCCGCAGAGTATATCCCTCTTATGTACTAGTGGTGTTTTTTAATTAGTAACGCTTAAGGTGTTGTTGGTTGAGTGATGGGGGCAGAATTTGTCTCTTCCTTGACATAACGCTGATCGAGTTGGTTGTAGTCATCAAATCCCTCTAATAGTCGAGGTGTTAGCAGAGATGTGGTGGGTGTGAAAAAGGATATAGTTGACAGGGAGAGGGTCTTTTAAGGTCTAGAGTCAATGAGATTTAAATTCCCACTGTGACTCTACACTCTCGACCTGCAATTTTCGTTTTGTTGATGAACAGTTAACTGAGAATGTCGGCACCACCATCACTTCACACTTTGCGGGAAAATCATGCACTGTAGCAGCTCTCTGACTTCGGTAGCTGTGCAGACAATGTGCACTCCGTGAAGCGTCAGTTATACAAATGGTCCTATCAAGCACGATATCCTCTTACTAAAATTACTCAGCTTCATTAAGAATCCTTCGAAAGTAGCGATCACTAAAGCGCAACGAAGCGTGTGGAAATTCAACGTGTGAAATATTGAAGTTCATTTATTAGCAACAATGATGCGATACGCGGATCAAAGGAACGTCTGCCATTTCTAGCATTAACGAAACACCCAGCAGAACAGCCGGACACCTACTGAATGGTAATGAACAGGCTCAAAAGTGTACTAACTACTATGCAAAGTGTGAAGTGATGGTGGTGCCGACACTCCCAGTTAACAGTTCATCAACTAAACGAGAATTCATTATTGGTTACTTGACTGCAGCAGTCACGCCGCTTCATGTGGTGACCCAACTTCCTAGGTACGCATGTAGACAGTTCCCATCCACGTCACATTACCGCTAGTCCTAGGAACAAGGCCACGCAAGAGCTATTTGCTCTACAATCCCTAACAATGTCAAGGCTTAAGAATTTGTTGGCGTAAGTAGCTGCGTTCATTTAGCTGCAGTTGGGGCTCGCATGTGATTTACGGTGTGACAAGTGGCCATCTGTTTAGTGTTTTATTCCGAGATGAGGTCACAAAACCCGTCACTGTTGCTAACAGCAACAAACGGTATCCGATGAATCTGCATTTATGAAATTTGACACACTGATAATTCATGTAGTGATTCAAAGGCAACTAATCGAATTCTCTTTGCTGGCCATTTCAAATGTCACTTTGATCGATCGCACCTAGCTGGTCAGTTGGATTACAGCATGTGTATCGTGAGGTGGATGCTACAAGTCATGATTCTACCTTTGTGTCTGGGAAATAACATTCAACGATGCTGCATGGAGTGGTTGGAGCCATGCAAGTGTCCAGCATTATACATCACCCCGGACATGAGACGCTGCGGCTCTGAGGTGATGCTCACAGAACTCAATATGCCCATTAAAAGGTTCAAGGCAGCGAGAGACGTCATTCTAATGGTAGGCTTGCTCATTAATCATTCCTACTGATTTTTTTACGTAGTTGTTGCAAATTCAAACATTTGCCTATTTCTAGGCCGACTACTACTCCGTAATATTTCTGGCAAGTAGTCGGAAATCCGGGAGCATAGCAGGCGTCCGCTACCGCCTGTTATACGCCAGGATTAATGTTCCTGTGAGTTTGATTTTTTGATGACGTTTCTATCGTCTCTCGAAGTCGTCCTAGTTAACCACTGGTTAATGAGTATCCATGTCGGTGTAAATGATGCGACCACAAGTTGAGGAATCAGACCTTCATCTTTAGCAACACCGAACCTGACTGGTTTCCAAGTTGTTCCTAATGTCAATTAGAACACTTCAAAGATGAATAAGACCAGAGAGGACGAGGCGCAACTGTTAACTAGACAGCTCAACCTACTTGTGCTTGATGACTGATAAAGTTGAGTGGACTTGGAAAAATACAGACGGCTGAATAGTCCATTTGGGAGAGGTGGTGGTGGTGGTGGTGGTCGTGGTGGTCGTGGTGGTACATGAAGGGACTGACGGTCATTAGTGAAAAGAGGGATGTGTTACAACACGATTCGCTACAGCGGTATCAGTTGAAGCAATTCCTGATATCCTGCATCCATTTTTGAAAGTTAATGATGCTGATTGCCTTTTATTTAAGCGTGATCAGTTTGTTGGAATGCTGGAAGAATCAGAGGAAAATGGGAGCGTTATTGCCGTGAGTTATTTACTTTGCAAATTGTGAAAATGATTCGGTTTAATTACCTTATTCAATAGAGCAGTTTAATAGCTTGTAGTTTTTGATTGATTACTCTATTCCACCTTGCCTTCTTAACTCTCCATTTTGCCCAGAAATTGTTTGCTAATGGCAAGGCGGTGGGAAAAGCTTGTTTTTGTGTCTTTGAGTCATTATGTGACATGCAATAACCTTTCTATTCTGGGTCAACACATACGTCGTCCAGTCTGTTGAAACTTGTTCTTTTACTATTTAGAGGCAAACCACGTGCTCAAGCAGCACCAGTCACGTGGTTTCTCTCCAACGTGAGTGTCCATATAAGATTCTGCGGCATTTTAATTAATAGGCAGGCGTGGTTGTACAGTAAATGTTGCGAAAATTGCTTCCTGCAGTTATTTCATACCGCCCAAGATTTAACTGCTCGAATAAGGGCGGTATTTCGTTGCTACACTTTGTCAAATTGCCTGTCAACATGACAAAAATACTTAGGTCGAAGAACCAATTTTTGGACCAAAATACTTTTGGAGCCTAATGAGAAGGAAAACAAGTTAAGGAATGGGTGTGGTTGTTGCTCAATTCCCTTAATGTCATGTAGTTACGCGAAAAAAAAACCAATACTTCAATCTACAAGGTAACCCACCATCTGAGCCAATCAACTCGCGAGGAATCCTCCAGTGGTCTGAAATTATGTTGGTGCTTTGTCCCAGTTGTATGTTCACAAATCGGATTATGGAGAATCGGATCGTTGATTGGAGGAAAAGAGTTTCGCGTATATAAGGGACACTACTTTAAATAAAGCTTTTAGGGCCGTCTGAGAGCAAACACCATTGATTGGTTGGCTGGCTTTCACACATGCACGACTTATTTCGTCCAACGATTAAGTGTGCGCATTTTGGTCTTAATCGACAGTGAAAACTCCGTTTTTTTATAAATTCTAACCAGCTTTTCGTAATTTGAATGCACACAAGGAATTATCTGTTGAGTAATTAATTAGCAAAGTGCAAAATAATTGCAAGCAGAATAAAACTGCGACTTCGGGACAAGTCATAGATTCCTTTTTCCAATTTTTTTATTAATTTTCAAGTTTGCAGCAAATATGTGTGCATGATAAATTTGGGAAACTGAAACAAAGAACTAAACATAATTACGGTTGATATTTAGGGGTGCCAACTCATTTGATTGGTCCAACTCAAGGTTACCCAGATGTTTCAAGGTTAATAATTTAAGTAAGCGACAAGGAGACTTAGCGTATTTTGTTATTTCAGCTGGACTACAACGCAAACACAATTATCGGTAAGCCCTTTGTTTCATTGTTCCTCGTAATCAGCTTCATTACATGTAATCACAATGTTGGCGGCAGATGTGTAAATCAACTTTAGGGTGCTTTGTTCGTAGTTCTTTCACGTGGATCATTTGCGTGCAGTTGAATTAGTTGTCAGTGCCTTTGTTGTATCAAATTGAATACACGGCATAACTTACCGTCCTCCAACTGGATCCCACCTAACGCGTTTGTTGTTGAGTTGAAACAACTAATCCGAACGTGACTAATAGGTTGATGTCATTCATTCCAGGCCATCTCACATGGCCTCCACAAAGTTGACATTGATATCGCGATAAAAATGTTTCTGTCCCTGCAGAAGTCACATTAGCTAATTCAATGACCTCTTTGTGAATGAGTTTATCCCAGGAGCATTAATCCAGTTCGCGCCAAATTATCACAAAATTGAACTTTAATTAAATTGTCAACTGCGTGGGCAAAACAAAAATGAATGTCTCCTCTCGCGAGAGTTAGCAATCACTTTGGTTTTTTTTTAAAATATCGAAAATTCAATTAAAGTAATTGGCCAATTAAATATTTTCATAAAAGTAACATTAGTGAAGAGTGCACTTTAAAATTAGAATAGTATATCAATTTTACACAATTTTGTCCTGCGTTTGGAGATCTCGAGTAGGACAACTCAGTTTCCAGTCTCCGTAATTCAGATGATGAGGGAGCTTTTTTTGGGTGTTCTTGAATGGGCAATGCTTAAAATCAGGTTTTTGCGAAGACTTGAAACAAGAAGGGAGCTTTCCACCGATGAGGTCTAGTTCAAAGTCAAGGGTACTTGACCACCCAGAATGTCCGCTCGATCAATGACATGCAACAATATCGGCAACGTGCTTCCTGGTGGTTGACATTTCAGACGAACTGACGCCCTACAAGCTTGTGCATGATTCGTGCAATTCCAACGCTCTGACGCGCCTCACCGCATTCATGGTGCCTCAGACGGAATATCGTGAGCAGCCAGTCGAGATTGGTGAGCTCAAGGCCAATCTGAGACGGGAGGACGTGGAAAAACTGTTTCCTGGTGAACCAGTCGCCGCCTCCAGCTACATTCTGCGGCATGTCCAGTCTGAGTACGACGGCAAAAGCAGCAAAGCCAGGGGACTCACAGTGGAGTGGATTGCTCCGCTGGAAACGAATGGAGTCGACATCATTGACGCCAACACAGGTGGTTACACCATCAACAACCGCTTTCGCGATTGGCTTCAGTCGAATGAAGGAAATTCATAGCTCTGGCGACTGCAAATACACACATTGTGAATCAAAATCTTTGGAAATGTTACCTACCGTGTCAATGCGGAGCCGCATATAAGTTGTAACCGGAAAAAGTAGTACACCAATTGCCATTTGTGGTTGTCAAGTTGTGTTGATGAGTCACTTTAATGGTTTTAGGTGAATGATGATCTCAGTAATAGAATGAATGAATGAAGCTCCAATCTCCAGATGGGACAACAGTGGGACGCCAAAAATGGCGCATTGAGTGCCAAAGCTGAATAGAATTACAAATGCTGGTTAATTTAGACTAGCAATCTTGTTGAGGAAGCCGGCATCAATTGGGTGGATTAGGGACTAATAAGCAAAAAAGTGACTAGTTTAAATTTGTGTGCTGGCCTATCCCCCTGGTTACCAGACAGTCAGGAAAAGTGATGAGGGTAGGGCCTGAATTTTGTTAATGCGACCTGGTTTGATCTCTAAGTCATCGCTTGCCCATTAAATTAGATGAATCTTTGTTCTAAAAACCACCATAATTTAGGCACATCTGAATCAAAATTGTGTAAACGGATTAAATTCTAGGAAAATTTGGTTAAAAACGTTCAGTTAAACAAATCACCATCATCTAATTCATCCGGTAGTAATTGTATCATTCAAAAGCATTTACTCGACTTGAGGCAATTTACATTTCATTTTGGTCTGCGTCATTTGCAGCCACAATACGAAGGATATTGTAAGCGGCAACAATTCCAGAGTAGTTATTCTACGCCATCCACGATGTAAATTAGCCTCCTCCAATGATGTTCAGCTAAACACGTTCGCGGTCGATTTGAGGCAACCAATAGGAATATGGCCAACTTGGAAGTGCTATTCATGCAGGCACAGCCCTCTCTCTTAACACGTTTTCTCCTTTTTCGTCGACATTGAGAAGATGACTAAAAATACTTTGTTAAAAAGAAGTCACATCTGGATATTAAATGATTGCTTTGCAAGTAGTGTTGTCCCCAGGGGCTTTAGCCAAGGTCACGCCAGATTATCATAAAGGTCAATTTTAATTAAATTGCCAAAACCTTCGACAAAATATAAGGTTAAATAATAGAACATTTACAAGACTTCACACGAGACATTAACCTTATCGGTAAATGCGAATAGATAGCTGTTTTCTTGTTACGGTTTGCAAGTTAAAATTAACCCCTTTTTCAGATAATCATTACCCCAGATGCCTTATCTGACGCTTGACCCCCAACATCCCACGCTGATGTAAGGCAAGGCATGACCTCGCACAGGAAGCTCTTAATGTCTCAATCACAGGCCGACAAATCTGTCCTGATGTGCCCTTTTGCATAAGCCAAGGCCAATCTTGATCAAGTATATCAAGGCGGAGCAACACAGATGGGGTTGCCAGCAGTCATTTTCATGATTATAAAATTTGTGTGCACGATGATAAATCCTAACCCACGATGAGCCGTCCTGAGGAGTGCTGGATCCGCAGCCCTTCTGTAGACTACAGGAGAATTTGCTAATTTGTCTACACAGTTCTGACAAACACTTAAATGTGGATTTCGCTCGTAGGTTTGTTGGTTATGCGATTTACGAAATCGAGTACTAAGGTCTCAAGGTAAATAACACATTTTGATCAGCGCATTTGAAAATTGAGACATTTAAAGTGACGAATCAAAAGTATCGGCGTCGAATTGCTGCATATTCCAGCCATTAACATCACAAAGGTAGAATAGCAGATACAGAATTATGTCCTACTAAATGTTCTTATATGCAAGCTGAACGTTGCTATCAATGTGCTGAAGTGAAATTGGGTGACTGCGGTTATGTTTGCACCATTTGAAAACGAATTAAGTACTATTGATAATGCATGCAAAATACCATTTGTGGATGTGTTATGTTCTCATTAGCATTTCCCATCGAGAGCGTCTCAATGGTATGCGACTCCCTAAATTTCTTTTGTGAAGAGTCTGCGTGGTTTCTCGTAGTAGAATGTCGCAAGTTTTTAGATGCATGACTCTGTAAATTAATGTTTTTTAGCCTAAAGTTTTATTACAAATCGAAATATTTTTGCCGCCTTTTGTGATTTTGAAGGTTGCAGGATCAAGAGAATCGTCTACGTCCAGTCGCTCTTGTCAAGTTATCCACTCGTGATCACTGGCTTATAATTGCTGTTTACTACCTTTTGCAAGGTCACTTTTAGTCCCAGCATGTCGTAGCATCCCAAACTACTTGCTCTATAACCCACGTGACAATCTTACTTGCCTTTAGTTGCCATTTCTGTTTCTAAATAACAGTCTAGAATGACGGAAATACAGCGGATAACTACCGAATTTGGACAATGACCAAAATCGAAGTGATTAAATAGATATAATTTTCAAGGTCATGCCATGTCAATATTAATGTGGACTGGAATAATTAAATAATTACCAACAAAATTTTATTGCATGCAGCCAGCCAAGTGCATTTTAATTTATGGATGATTAGATACTGCTCTCATTAATGACCTTGTAGTCAAACCAAACTTGACCTTGAAAGCAACTCTATAATGGCGGTTCAACTTAGTCCATTTTGTCTAAATATGCAAAATCCGTTTATCTATCTTTCTGATGAATCCAAGTTGATTTAAATGCCATAATGCTGTCAGATTTTGTGAATTTAGTCACTTATCAAGCTTTTAGTAATAGATTCATGCCTTAAATCACAGATTAGGTTATATCCGCTGCCTAGAGGTGTACCAGAGCAACATTGGAGTCGTAATTTTCAAAAGTATATGCCCATTTGTGACGCCGATTGAAGATAACGTCTTAAACGGCATCGGTGAACCAAATTTAAATAAATGAAATTCTAACTTTTAAAGCAATGCTGGTTCTCGGATTACTTAAAATCAGCCAATCTCTTTCTCATTTACAGCCCAGAAAGTGGTGGGTTTCCTAAAATGACCTTGGATGACAGCTGCCCTTGAGGCTATGGGGTAATGCGTCGATTGGACGGTTCCAAGTTATCTCTACATGTACGGGATTGTCGGAACTGGTAGTGCTTCTAGCCAGACCTGTTGAGGATGCTTCGACAATGAATTGACATTCACCATGGATTAAATAGGATGCAGACTTGCTGACTGCCTTGGAACGAGATCAATAGTCACCAACCAAGTCACCGCAAACGTCATCTTAGTCCTGTTAAAGAACTCACGACCAAACGTTGCACCAACCACTGATGCCATTCCTGGATTCTGTGTCAAAAACTATTACATATAAATGCTTTAGGTTATTGTTTTAACCCATCAGCCTGCTTGTTTAGTAGTTCATCTGTGCTGCGTCCGATTCCTCTAAAGTGCCTAGTGGACAAAATTTTTAAATCCTCTCAGTGATTCCAGGAAAATTTGCATGGTCAGGAGAGATGACCTTTTCACTGATTGAGTGTCGTTGTGGTAGGGTATTTCAGTAACTTGATAAAGTTCCATTTATATGGTAACAAATTGCAGTGTGTAACTGCACTTAACAGGCCCTTCTGGCTTAATATGACCTCAGTTAGCAGAAAAAACTCAAACAAACTGCTGCAAACCAAACAGTCATGGGCTTGCAGGTTGTTCTGCATCAATAACTACTGGTTACTTAAAGTTAGATCTTTAAAGTGATCCGAAATGTGGCGAGACCGATACTACTAGACCAGTACCGTTCGTACCAATTTAACAATTTATTTCATCAGAAGCACATTATATCGTCTATGAAAGTTATTCAGTTTGACAAAAAAATGGTATGTTTTATTAAGACAACAGCAGAACGCTTAATAATGACGCAAATTACATACATGCTCTTGCACAGTTCCATGCTGAATTGTTTGCAAGTAATTTTAATGAACCGATGCGTTGTGGATACGCTGTGAGTTTCTCAACAGCCAGGAGGCTATCCGAAACATTTTCTGATGTTAAGCAAATAATTGTTGCCCAATCGACTGAGGTTCATGAACAGACACGAGTTAATTGGTCCGAGGCGTTTGTTTTAGTAAGGTCGAGTGCACTTCACGTTTGGCAACATTTTGAGGCATGAAATTGCGCTATTGCGAGGCGATTTTATTTGCAGTCACATGTGTTTTAAAAGACTTTAGCCAGTATATTGATTTCTAGCTATATATTTCATTTGTTTTAACTTTTTGAAGCTAAATTCAGGGATCTCTGCGGTTGTTAATTTAGGTTTAATTCTAACATAGAATGCATTAAGAGAACAGCGCTGTGGTGTTTTGCTCTTTCGATTCCACAGAAGCAAACATGTATCGGTGGATATCAGGCGAAGTTGATGGTGGGTGTTGTCTGAAAAAACCCACAAATCGGTGCCATCTCGTCCACTCTGTCGTGTCGCCTTGTCAATGTCTTCGTTTTTTTACAACAACAAAGTGTTTACGCCTTTATGGGGCTTTATTTCACACCAAAAACACCTCGATTACTTTCTGACCAATCGTTGACAAGTCTCAAGGTCATTAATTGTTGCATCCTCCCCTAATTAAATACGTTTTATCTTGATATAAACAGGAAATCTAATCTTAAAAACACGTGGAAGTAGGTAAATAAGCAAATGTAATTGCCATTGGCACAACTATTTGATTGGTTTGGATAAGAGGAGATGATTTTGGCGAAGAGGAGGACATCCCACATACTTGTGGTTGCAAAGATGTCTACACGTATAGCACACAATCGCGCGCCTACTAATGACCTGAAGTGAGGAGTAGTAGACGGACTTTAAGACAATTCTTGTATTTGGTCGCTGAATAACCTTGAAATGCTAGTGGATTACCCATTTTGGCCTTACCAATTTGTATCCTTGTCGGTGGCATTTGTAGCAAATTGAGGTAATTGGCAATATTGGAATGCGGACGCGTTTCCATACGAGACATTGTCAGTAGAATTTCCGTGGAAGTGATTAATTAATTGATTTGTATGATCTGTTCGATAGGTTACTTTCCTAGCTCACATGATTTAGAAAGTAATATACACCTAATTTAAAATATGATTGCATCGCTTAACTTTATCAAAAACCCTTGACTGATGTAGCAGACACACTCCACCACAAATGATAAATTATTTTTAATGCAAAAAAAACACAATTTTGTAGCACAAATTCTTTATTTGGAACGCTGACGGTGTTAGAAATCAGCAGGGGCTATAGTAGGTCACGAAGAATCGTTTTGTTTAAATGCACAGGATTCAACCAATGGCATCACGCTAAGTCAGCTCTAGCACGATGTGCCACCATGCAACAAGACTGGCTTTAAGACCAAATACCTTTTATTTTGGTGCCTTCTAACTTGATTTCGTGAATTACAGAGCACTGACTGCTACTTGAAGACAAACACGTAAGGCAAACTGTGAAGTGTAGCCTGATTTCTGTAGACAGGAGGTCGATAATTACCTCAGCTGGTAAAACAAATCAAAAAACTAAATGGAATATTTTTTTCAATAAACCTATTTCGATGGCGCGTTGATATATGGGCGTGACTCAAGTTTGCTTAGTTATAGCTAAAATTACAAGCAACACTTCAAAATATCTCACACTCTTTAATCTTTTTGAAAATACCCATTGCTTAAACCAGGTCATTTCTTTGAAGTGGACGAACGTCAAAACAAACTACTTGCGTCATATTCCTTTCCGTTAAGACGGCCTTGAAAATGTTTATGCCATATCGCCGATATTTCAACTACAAAAGTCCTGAAATATTTTGTTCGAAAATCACATACGGAGGAGGCATACCTCAAACTACTTTATGTTGCTAAAATGGGAATAAGCACGTTTTTTGCCTCCTGGAAACAGGAATTAGAGGGAGTAACATTGCCTCCAAATGACAAATTGGGCGGTTAACGTTTCAAAGTGGGGCTAGACTAGCAAACTGCCATCTGTATGTGTATTTTTGCAGGCATCTGATGGATGCAATTTCATTTTTCAGTTGAAGAATTTGACACTTCTCAAAACCACCATTTTGCATGAATTTCAGAGAGGCTACCCACCTACCTAGTTGCTCATGCATAAACCACCGACCCAAACAAATTATTTCATATTTGAAATCTGCGCATTTAATGGGAAAAACGGGAAATCAGAAGCAGCAGATTGAAATGTGGAATGATTGTTTGCCGGCGTTGTCTCGTAAGGACCAAAATCTGCTGTCAGCGACGTCGATACTGTCTCGTGCAGAGAAGTTCATCCACTCGAATGGTCTATCAATGGAAGCACAAAAAAGCATTTTAGAGATACAGAACACTCAAAAATTCTTAAGAGAAAACAGGACACGTCTAGTACCCTTAGCGTGATCAAAATATTATAAAAATTTGGTGTTTTTTTTAAATGGAAAGCCATAAATCATCCCAACGCTCCTAGTACTACCGTAAATTTAGTAAACATTTTCAACCGGACGACCCTGGCTCTCGGCCTTATTACAACAAACGTCTCGGACCAATTAACTCGTGTCTGTTCATGAATTTTAGTCAACTGGATGACAATTATTTGTAAAAATATCTGAAATTTTTGAATAACCTCCCAGTTACTGAGAAATTTACAAACTATCCACAACGCACCGGTTCACTACAATTGCTGGCAAACAATTCATCATGGAACTGTGCAAGAATATGTTCTTTACGAAACTTTTTTTTCGAAAAAAAGAACACTTTTAGGTAATTTCCACCCTGAAATTGAATCACTAGTGATGCGACGGCGAAGAATACGGGATATTGAATTTGCTCGGGTCAATTTACAAAGTTATATTTCAATAAAATTATTGGAAATGAATATTTTTTTTTCATGAAAAGCAGTTCTTTTGAATTTTTTTTTAAAACAACTAGGAACTAAAATGTTTAAATGTTCGCAACGCGAATATGAAATACTAGAAGGACTATTATAGGACAAGAGCGCATTAGCGACCGCAGAGGCAGTCACGTGAGACCATGTCGAATATGCACGGTTGCTGTTTGCTAAAACGTTGGAAGAAACTGGTGAAAATAATTATTTAAGCTCCTAGTGGCATCGCCTCGCAGCTAGATTTAATGCCTTGCGATAAGGTTATTATTTTGCTACTCAGAATATTCTACAGAGATTAAGGCGGATGAAAATGTAGAGGCTAGGGCAGGGAAACGCGACTGTTGATTAGTATCTGCATTGTTTAAGGACTTTTGGGCTAAAAATTGGCGTGGTGATGGATGGTGCCTTGCAATCGACCACATTTGCGCATCCGGCATTAATTTTAAATTTGAGATGCGTAACTAACACATGGGTCTTCCCTGTTGGTAATAGCAGACTTTGTGGACTAAACTCAAGCAATGTAGCCCCTCTTTAACCCAGCCTCTACCACTGATCCCACTCTTTCACTTCCAAGCTTTCAGTCTCTTCTCCTAATTGTGAGAGTTGGCAAACAAAAAAAGTTTTGAAATGTTTTAGTGTAATTATGATTAGTTATTGCTCAGTTATCGTGGAAGTCATAATTCATCCTTCATTGTTTTTCATCATGTCACCAAGAAGTCACTTTCAATGCCAGGTGATCACTAAGACACGACACAATGAAATTGTATAAATTCTCTCTCTTAGCCATCTCTGCTTAGAAGTGGGACGCGGATACTCACTATCATTCGCTAATCACGTGAGAAGTCAATTTCAGTGTCGGCATATCGCCCAGAGTAATTGCTAAATGTTCCAATAGCCAGTTCAAATAAACATCTGAGGCATTTTTATGCCCCAGGTCTAGCATTCATGCCTTGCTTAAATGCACACAGTCTACACGCAACAATATGGTGAATATTAAGCTTGCACATAACATCGCATGAATAAATGCCTTTTTAAGAGCTATGTTAAAACATATCATTCAACAAGTGCCATTTACTAAAATGAATATGAATGAAACGTCAGATCAGTTTAAAGTGTGTGCCTTCGCTCGCTATGTATATTTAGTGCAAACCTGTGTGATCATCGAATCTAATCGTAAATACCAAAAGCACCTAAGTTTCAAATGACTCATTAGGGCACGATTCGCTTGGTAATGATATCTGTGGGTTTCCGTGACCACTATACCCCAGTTGGTGCGTTTTATCACTAAAACGGCACTTGGTGATGTCATCGACTATCGTGAGTCTAATCTGATATAATTGGTCTTAGCTGGTGTCCACATTTTACTAATCGCATTTTTTTTCAAAAAGATGATGATGAAAGAAGGTTGACGAAGAAGAAGGTTGAAGTGAGAGGAAATCATTGACTTCTCACCACATGCATTTCGTTGCTGCCAACAAGGCGTCTTTCGATGTCCGCGACTTTGTCTCCAACCTGACACTGCCTCAGGATCCAGGAGCCGCCGTGCTCGGACTTCTCTAGAGTGATGACCGTTTTCACCTTCCTGCCGTCCACGGTGGTCTCGAGAAAGGGCTCGCCTAGTTTGAATTGCACCAGTGTGCTGCGAAAAGTGTTGATGGTCTGCAGAGTGAAGGTGTCCGGCAAGTCTGGATGCCTCTCAATCTTGATGACTGGTTTGATCGCGTTCCCGGTCTTCCGCGTGAGATAGTCCACACCCAGGCGTATCATCACTTGGTCAAATCCCTCACTCGAGACCATTTTCCAGGTTCCCAAGAAACCGTCCATTTTGCAGCAATTGCCTTCAAGCAGAATGATGCTCTTTTCATAGGACCCTCGAATGTTTCCTATTGGTTGATTCCATCCTCGTGCGGCTATTGGCTGTAAAAGTGAACGGTTTGACTGCATCATATTGGCCTATATAAACGTGTGTGTGTGTTCAAGTAATCCCATTGGCCAGATTATGGAATTTAAAAGTATTTCATGTGATATTTATCAATGTTGTACCATTTGCAGCGGCTAAGAGGCAGTAAACAACCAATCAATGTGTCAAACGCGCCATCATCACGGTTCAGCGTAATTAAATATCTTTAGGTTAGCCTAAACGCGATAACAGTTGGTTTAAAGTCCAGAGACAGGGATATCCGGTTTAAAATGCTTACCAAATTTACCTTAGTGAAAGGGCCGATGGAATTATTTGTGCTTTTCCATTTACAAGCACCACATTTTCCCCGTTTTTGAACAAGCCTATTCTCTTTCTAGTGCCATAAGTTTATGTTGAACTTCAGGCAGTTGAAGGCACTAGACGTGCCCTGATTTCTGACAGGAAGTCGTCCGTGTTCCTCTTGTTAATCCCTTCCATGACCGACAATTAAATGGGATTACCATAGTCTAAAACAGTACTATCTTACAATATTGTAATATTCATTCATGATAAGACCAACATAATTTCACGGTGATGTAGAATACCTGTCTTCCGCAGAGTGAAGAAAACAGGCACAATTGAGAATGTACTGTTGACCAAAGAAGTGACAGAACTGTCGTGACATCGGCTCCCTTTCCATCTTCCCCTTTTTTGGCTGGCTGCTGACGGTTCAAGCATCCAGCATTGAGAATTAAGGGAACTGGGCGCATATGTATTTAAATTGAAATGAGCCCAGAATGGCGACTCAAGTCAGAACATTCATATGTGTTTTTCAAAGTCATGTCGCAGTTCAAGGCCAATCAACACTTTGTTCGATCGAATTCGGTTCTTCCAAACGGATCTGCTAACGCGTTAGGCAATAATTTTAATTCTTTTAATCGCGGCCAACAACACAGTGACTGAGAGGTCTAATGATATAGCGGCAGCAGTTCATAATTAGAATGACCTTTTACGCCGGTGTGGAAAACCACAGCCGTCAGAATGTGCGAACTCTCTGATTCATTGTTAGCATTCTGTGGTCAGCTTCGACATTCCCCACCTCCATGGGTGGGTGTGCTTCCAAAACCAACGAATATCATCTGACATTTTCATCAACGCTGTTTGTGCATGTAGACAAAATGAACCACCAAGCAAAAGTAGCTAAGCATATTTTATGAGAAACTGGTGGAATATTTCATGCTAAATGTAAGATAACTGTGAAAAAATTATACCCTGTTCCAATTTTGACAAAAGGCATGTATTCATGTTGAAAAAAATTGACAAGTTGGCCAGCCCTATTTGACTACGCTACTTCTGCCAATTCTTAGATTGTCATCCGGCATTCCACTGAATGTTCTGACATGGATAACATTCCATGGTTTTACACCGACTTTGTCAAGATTCATGTTGGCCACGGCCTGTAATGAGCACATTCTGCTGTGCAAAATGTCTAAATTCAGGGCTGCTGTTTGAAAGATGTAATTTTCATTGTCAAGGACTTCATATTTAACTGATGCGGTACACGTGGCTGCCCTGTTTCCCAACATGTGACATTGGTTTAGTCAAAAATTCCAGATAGGTGTAACTGGGTGACTTTTAAATGCGGCACCTTTAAAGACTAAAGTTGCTTTTGGTGTTATCTCTTATTCATCCAACCAGCTCTGATATCCTGGACGATGCCAAATGAATCAATAACCCAGTTGTCAATTATCGTTGCTCACACGTGACTACAGGCAATTCACGTGCCACTTTCCGCGCACCTTTACACTAACACTCAACGCACCCAAAAAGAGCAAAGCTACATCGTTTTTATGATTACTGATCGCTCCACATAGTTTGAATTGAGGCGACTTCACACACCTCTTGGGGATGTCAATTTTCTCCAAGGCAAGTAAATTAACACAGTGATTTGTGAAGTCGATTCCATCAACCCCGTTTATTTGACTAGAGCTCTGCTGTTACGCCACAGCATTGTCCACACCAACAACTCATTACTTAGTATTATTTACCCAACATACATAGGTATGTACATTTAAGCATCAACACGGCTACTGCCTCGACCTCCGCTTTGATCCCAACATGCAACCGACCCTTTGTCCATGCAGGCCACAGGTTTCTCTTCCTATTGGAAGGCTTTGACGTGGCAAAGAAGTATTCGGGATATTTGCAGTGTTGTAGACTTAGCTCTGCCTTAAAAACATCTAGTTTACAGCCTGTTACAACCCGAGGAGAGGGGGAAGGAGGCGACAGAGAACACGACCATTTATTAGTGTTACACCAGCCAAGTGTCTTTGTGGGCGCATGAGTACACATGCGTAACAGGAGAATGCTGACAGAGGCCAATAACAAAAGGAGTGAATCATTGGTCCACTCGGGCCCTCATGCACGCATTACAGTCCATTACATAATAACAGGGAAATTACATCGACGCACCGAAAAAACTAACACACTTTGGTGCTCCATGCAAATTGCAAGTTGTAGATGGGTTTGAAGCCCTTAAACCTTGCTACTGTATCCAAGCTAGATCTGTAAGAGATCGTAAAACATGCAACTGCCCTAGATTGGGTGATTTTACACTTCTGACACTTCCCCGCGAAGGCGTCTTGTGTGACAGTGAAGCCTCCATAGCGCCAGGAGTTTCAGATTCTTTAAAGAATGCTAAACAAACTCATTATAACTTCTGCATGACACATTCAAAATTCCTGTCTAGTTCCCCAATTCGTTAAATTTTGCCCTGTCTCTATTGCAGCAAACTAATATGACTACTGACTAAAGCCGGTAATATATTCTAATTGTTCTATGGGTCATGGCACGCGCGTGTTAAAAGTTCACGACTCAATTTAAATGCTCAAACTACTCATCGTTTGTTTTTCTGACAATAAAAATGTCACTGATGTAGAAGAAGGCAATCGCTTGAGGTCCCGAAGAGTCGCAACACTATGCACGCGGCTTCCGCAGAACCATAAGCTTTCCCTCTGACATGTTTTGCACGGTAAAAACTGGCTTCCATGTGAATTTGTCAAGCGTCAAGTTCTAAAATGAACATTCATTGCGAGGTAAATTGCCAGGATTTCTTTAAAAATGATATATCTGAAATTTGCAATGCTTACATTTGAATCTAATGCGGCAACAAATTCATGTACTTTTCCAGTACCACCTAAACAACAATTAAGATGCAGAATCGGAAGGTCTCAAAGTATTGCGCATGCGTAGAAAATATGAAGTTTTTCTTAAGAAACGGAGTTAGGCTCTTGAATTCGTTAGCAACGGTAAATGTCGTCTTTGTAGGTTAAACAATAACGCAAAAAAGTCATACCTGATAAGAGGAGGCTGTCGTTATATACGACCAGCGAGGTAGGCCATCCATTGCCTTTACCCAGTCCACTAAGTCGCGTCCACTGACCGGGATCGTTGTCAGCTCTGGACAGACGCAGACTCTCAACGCTGATGTTCTTGACAGGGTTACTCTCAGCAACGATGACGTGACCTCGGAAATAGGCGACTGCTGGTCCCTCACGGCCTTCCAGCATAGGAGGAAGTTGGCGCCACGACGAGTTGACGTGTCCGTCGACCTCTGAGGTGACTGTGAGCAGTTCAGCGGTGTTTACGTATTCACCGTCATCACTGTAGCCACCAACAACGACAAAGCCAATATCGGGGACATACACTGCACCACTGGCATCGCGTGCCGTAGGCATATCTGGTAGTGGCGTCCATCTGAATAAATTGGAAAACAACGCGTCATAATATTCCACGGCTCAAGCAAAACTTGATAAAATGCTGATGGCACAATGACATTTCAACAGACCTACGATACTTAGTTTTCACACCACGTTTAACATATTGCTACTAAGGTAAACTTGCCTGTTAGTTGCAGGGTCGAATTTCTCGCAGGATGACAAAATTGCGTTTTCGCATTCGATTCCTCCAAATACAAAAATCTGCTGACCGTTCGCTACAGCAGTACAATCCCAGCGTGCCTGCACCATCGGTGCTACACTGGAGACACGACCGTCGGAGGGGTTTACTCTGTCAACCTTGTTAGTAGGTGGGCCCATCTCATCCACGCCACCAATCAAATAAATGCTGTCTGTTACACAAACAAATCACTAACTTAGAAAATAAAGCAAAATTTTTGCACTCGTGTGTCTTTTTGTACAAACTCACCATTCAAAGCCACAACTGCACAACCGAAACGTGACGGCACAACGCAACGAGGGCTTGCGTCTATCCGTGTAACTCCTGTCATCCACTCGAATGTAGAGAATGATAAATTGTTATCTTCTCGCCTAAAAGCCGTCAGGCAGTCCTTCGACAGTTCTCTTCATTGACCATGAAAGAAGCAAATGTAGCACACATCGATGACTTAAGGATGAAGGCACAAACCCCACTCTGTAAGGTGGATTCGCGTGCACAGACAAACTTACCCAGCTCGCGCTTCCTTCCAGGAGTTTACGACGAGATCTCTGTTTATGGAATAGAACAAACATAAGACGGTAAACATTTGTAACAACCTAACACATATAGATGCATCAATCTAAGTAGCATGAGAGGTGGTTGAGGTTGCGTTCATTGAGGTGCTGATAGTTAAGCCATACCTGCATTCTTCCGGCACATGCATCCAACACTTTGATGTGCAGATATCGACGAATTGGTCTGACGTAATCTTTCCAAGATCTATTGCAGCAACGAGGTCTATAAATACGTCAACAAAGGTTTTTCCACCCTTTTTCCCCTCCTCCTCCACCTCCTCTGGTGCAGTCCTTCGCGCTTCGAACCACGTTGCCACTGCTAGCAACTTCGAGTCCTCCATCACACCACCTAATCGACTATCTGTCAGCAAGGTGGCCAGATTTGCCAGATCAGTCGAAGCATAGAAATTCGGCTGTATGGAGTCAATGCTGTCGAAGTGGGCAGCAATCACAGGAACACAAAGTTTCATCATGTCTTTGTTCTTGGTTGCATCACCAACCGACCAAATGCAACCAACGTTGTCTCTGGAAATCCTACAGTGCAATATTAGATCAGTCACTTCCGTCATGTAAAGAAGGGACGAATAAGATAAGAGCTCGTTCTTCTGTACACTACACAACAATCCAGCGGATGTGACTGCAGGTAATTCTAATAGTTCAATTTTGACATTCTGAATTTGTGCATCGACGCTGTTGCCATTTTGTCTACATCCTCATAGTCGATCGACCGCACGTCTTTCAGCTTCTCATGTCTAGCGTCTGACCTGATCTGACTCCTCTTTTTCCACCAATGAATTCAATGAACTCCATCATCAGTCACTATTGAACATACTTTCATCCATTTCACTCTACCATCCTCCACCACTGTGCGTCCGCGCATTCAAATTGTTTGCACTCACACCACACCACAGGACGGTGTTGGGTCTGGTTCCTGTTGTTTCCTCAGGACTCGGGACAACTGCCAATCCCACCGACACCTCTAATACGCCCATTACTTGTCACCCGATGGCACTTCGGGTGGCACATCAGGACATCTCCACTTCCACCACGTTGCCTCTACCTTTGCTGTCCAATTCGTGGCTGGATTAAATGCACAAAAGTGAAATTGCGTTCACATTATTGTCATCAAAATCAAACCAACCTGGATTCGAGATATTCAATGCACCATGTTGCAAGAGTCACGCAACCGAGATTGGTCGCAACCAGGTAAAGACGCAGAGCATTGTCCAAAGAAATATCGATGCTGCCTGTGTACGCATATTTCACAACTGCCTCTACAATGCTGAAAAAACGCACCGGCTGTTCCTCATGAAATGCTGCACCTTACTCTCTGCCGTATCTCTGCCACTTCAACGTGCCTCCTGTGCAGTTCATTACAGCCTCCTCGATGTGGGGGAATCGAGTGGCCAACAGAAGTCGATGTGCGACCACCTCGTGGCCTTCCTTCGTCTAATCCTTACAATAACATCCGACCAGATGTGAACTTACCAGTATTCTCACATCACACAATTTGCCAAGTCGACGCAGTCTCTCGAATGGC